AAGGTCAAACCCTTCCTGGATACTCCTCCCCCCACTATGAGAAGAGGCGTATCAGGTAAGTACCAACGCCCTTTCTCCCATCCTCAATTGCTAGATATTATGAAATTTGGAACAAAATGTATCTGGTTGAAAAATGAGGGAAAGGACTCGGAACAGAATATTTTGAGGACTGTAAAATTGGAACTGGATAAAATATAGATAAATATATAAAGGAGGATAAGGGATATGTTAATAAGATCAAAAGTAGCTATGTACGGTAAGTATAAATTGTATTTGTTGTTATGTTAAAATATGAATGGAAATGACGAAGCCAGAAATGTTGCTCTATGTCCAAGGTTTTAATGTTTATTCAATTTTTTTTAAAGGGTCCTAAAACTAGAACCACTCCATCTTGCTAGGGTTGAGTTGCAGCTGGTTTCTGTCCATCCTTACAGCTTCTTAAGCACAGAGCCAGCACCCAAATGGCATCAATTGGCCCAACATGGGGATGTGTAATTGGGTATCATCAGCATATGGATGACACCAAACCTCATGCCATCAGATGACCTCTCCCAGCGGCTTCTTGTAGATGTTAAATAGGAGAGGCGAAATAATCAAGCTTTAAGGCACCCCACATAATAAGGGCTTGGGGTCTTGATCTTGCCTTTCCCATCAGCACTGACTGATAATGGACACAGAGAAAGGAGAACCACTGTAAAACAGGGTCCCTCACTTCCAGTTCCTGGAGCTGGTCCAGCAAGGTAGCATGGTCAATAGTATCAAAAGGTACTGAGAGTTCAGAATCTTCCAATTTATCTGTGGCTTTTTGTTCTTCCAAACCGTGGTTTTTTGCACCCACAGAGCATTTATATTGGACTCATTTGTATATGATACCATCACAAGATTCTTCTATTGTTACAAATCTTGGGTTCTCTCAGCTTAAAAATATCTCTCCATTGTTTGTAGCTCTATTTCAACTACATTACCACTGTGACCAGGTACCCAAAGTTACATTTTGTGACTATTTACTAACTCAATTCAAGTTGCAATTGTAGCTTTATTATTGACTTTAATTCTTCTGTTACCTCTTGCCTTATACAACTGAGTTGTGGCTTTTACAGCTCTTTTTTTCTTTTGAAGGTGCTTCAGAAGACTTGACTTGAATATAAAAAAACTACATCCACTTTATATTTTTATGTCCTTTTTTGTGTTGAGCAAAATGGTCTGCAAATATTCCCAGATTCAAATCATGGCATTTTAAAGCAAAGATAAAAAAAACAACTCTGCCTGAAGTTTGAAATGTATTTGCCAGTGACAATAAAGTTCCTAAATAAAGTTTTGTTGTGATTAGTATGACAATACAATCCAGGAATATCTTAGACAGGAACAAGTTGCACCGAAAGGAAAAAAAAACCAAATGTATTATGTAAATGAAGATTCTCTTCTCAATACAACATGCTGCCATTGCCAGCAATAAACAGAGAATGTCACGTCTTTTGCCACACAACAAAACAAAATTGTCTTTACATTTTTAGGATGTTACTGTGATAGCTTAACATCAACTACAGAATGAAGTTAAATAAACCAATAATTTTTACACTAGTAATTTACAACCTGTGAATAGTTAAAATAAAAAGAAACCTAAAAACCTTAATTACATTAGTAATATTTATGTAATGCATATAGTTCATTTTCTTCCCCCCCCCTACACATAAACACACACGCCTACCTTTGCATACCACCTTATAGCTACCAGTCAATAGGAAAAAGTATTGTATTGAAAATATTAAAAGTACTATCTTGAGAACAGCACAACCTATGTTGTCTAGCATTATCTTGTATACCATACAATTCTGCTCTGGAGACCAATCAAAACAGCTTGCAAAATATAGAATGTAAGAAAGTAGATGTACAGATTAAAAATATTTTAAACATTTAGTATTTTTAAAATACTAAAATCCTAGCAGACTTTTTAAAAAGCAACAAGCTTATCTAAATGGCAGACAAGCACTTTATAAAAACATGCTATCTTATATCCACCTTAACCCTGGTGGCATTCATAATTTTCATGCTCGATCTGCATTATTATTGTAGAAAGATGTGCAAATTTTATTGCATTGATTGATCGCATTTTGAAAAGACAGTTCTAAGATTTTGAGGCCTCTGTGGGTTTGAACCATTCTGTAACTGTCTTTTTAACAGGTATACGGAATAACTTTGTTACTGACAGATTGATGATGGGATGGGGTTGACTGAGACATTTATTGATTTGTTATGCCATGATCTGGAAAGAAAAGTCCATCTGAAACAGATGGGTGATTTAAAAATGTAAGGAAGGAAGGAAGGAAGGAAGGAAAGAAAGAAAGAAAGAAAGAAAGAAAGAAAGAAAGAAAGAAAGAAAGAAAGAAAGAAAGAAAG